TCAGGCCAGTGCCACACATTTTTAATCCCAGTATTCAGGAGACAAAGGCAGGTGGATTTCTGTGAATCCAAAACCAGCCTAGTCTAAATACCTACTCCCAAGAGTCTATTTTTATAGATAATAATCTCTTGTTTGGAGGACAAGGGAGAGGATAAGGTCTAGCTGACCTGAAACTCCTGACAACTCTCCTGCCGAGTCCTCTGAGTGTTGAGAGTATGGGCACGTACCACCATGCCCAACTTTTAACACCTATCTATAAGACGGCTCATTGTAGTATCATTTACAGTATCAGAGAATGTAAAAAAAAAAATTAAATGCCTACCAGTAGAAAACTTACTTACGTAGATTGCCTTCATCCCACAGAGTACTCTGACTTCAGGAGATAAAGTGAGTACCCTTTAAAACGGAAAGGTATGCAACCACGTGGTTCAAAGAATGAAGCTAGGGCCAGTGAGAGGCTCAGTGGGTAAAGCTGCTTGCTGTCCAAGTCTGGCAACCCAAGTTCGAGCCCCTGCACCCAGGAGTGCTGGTTAGTTTTAACTGTCAGCTTGGCACACCCAGAGTCACCTAGGAAGAGTCCGAATGAGGAATTATCTGGATCACATTCCTGCTAGGGATACACTCGCTGCCTCTGCTCCTCGCTGTGGATGTGGATGTGGATGATGTGACTTCCCCGAAATGATGGACCATAACCTGGAACTGCAGGCTGAGCAAACCCCTCCCCTCCCTCTGGTGCTTTATTACAACAGACAGGAAACAAGAACGCCGTGGATGGTGGAAGGAGAGAGACACGCCTCATGGAGCTGTTACTGACCTCTGTGTGAGCACAGTGGCATGCATTCTGTGCATGCCCACACACAATAATAAAAGTTTGTAAATGTAAGGGGAAGGACAGGATCAACAAGATGGCTCAGCAGGCAAAGATGCTTGCTCACACACAAGCACAAGTGTAATAAAAAGGAGTGAGGCAATGAGACCGGGCTGGAGAGATGGTTCAACTGTTAAAGAGCACTGACTGCGCCTCAGATTCCCAGCACCCACGTGGTTATTCACAACCCTCCTTAACTCCTGCCCCACAGGGACCCAACACTCTTCGGGCACTGCATACACACGGCACACATACAGGCAAAACATCCACAACACATTTTTAAAAAAAAGTAAATAAAAATAAATCTCAAAAATCAGTAAGGTTGTATGCGAATGCAAATGCATAATTAAAGCTCAGTGAGTTCCGCTTTCGGAATTTTCTAGATAGTTTTGACCTCACAACAAAGCAAGCCCCTTTCCAGTGGTACCACCTCTTTGCAGGGCCTCTACTGACTAGCTCTGAGTCAGGGCCTCATCCCAGCCTGTTCTGCACCATGTACCAGACAGGCCAGGTTGGTTTCCTGGTGGGACTGGAAGTTCCTGCTCTGCTCAAAATGGCTTCCACATCCTGCTCCATCAACACATACCAGCCAGCTATGCCGGCTTGTTTTTTGTAAGTATGTGTGCTGTGTGTCGTCTCCACCCCCACCCCCCAATCTCTAACTCTCACTCTTTCCTACTGAGGGCATTGAGTATGCTAGGCATACACTGACATAGAACTCCAGCCTTCTTTTAAAAAAAAAAAAAAAAAAAACATGGTCTCACTGCATAGCTCTGACTAGTGTGAAACTCACTACATAGACCAAGCTGGCCTTGAACTCACAAAGTGCTGGGATTAAAGGCATCATGTGTTACCATGCCCCGCCAGCCTTTATTTTTTATTTTTATTTCTTTGAGACAGGATCTCACTATAAAGCGCACACTAATTTTAAACTCACTATGTAGCCCATGCTGCCCCTGAGCTTGAGCTCCTCCTACCTGGGCCACCCATCCCTCAGGTCTGAGATCATAGACTGTACTACCACATCTGGCAGCTACGATGACTTTTTATTGCCAGTGTTCCTCCTAATCAGTTTCATGCCAGTTGGTAAAGTGCTTTAAGTATTATTTCTGTGCCCATTTGGGCCTGACCACACTTCTTAAAAAATTTTCTTTCTTTCTTTCTATCTATCTATCTATCTATCTATCTATCTATCTATCTATCATTTTTGAGGCAGGGTTTCTCTGTGTAGCCCAGGCTGTCCTGGAACTTACCATGTAGACCAGGCTGGCCTCCAACCCAGACCTCTGCCTGCCTGTCTCCCAAATGCTGAGATTAAAGGCGTGCGCCACCACCGCCCAGCCTAGACCCTGACCAGGCTTGCCTTGCTTCCCTCCTCTTCAGCAAAGCTCTGCCACACACATACTACCTGTCAGGCACCAGCAAGTCCCATGTAGCCTAACATGCTTTCTGCCTGTTTAGCCTGTTATCCCTACCACTCTCTACCCAAGTCTTGTCCATTTTTCAAGCCCCATTTGCAAACTACCTTCCTGAGCAATCCAGGGGCTGCATTTCTAGGTCATATGTACAGATGCGTCCAATGAAGACCAACCCTCCTGCACTTCCAACCAAGGTCACATTTACTCCTCCATCTTTTTTCCAATCATCTTCCATAGTTAGCCTTCTAAAACGTACTTTTCTGTAATCCCAGCATGCAGGAGGCAGAGGCAGGCAGATCTCTATGAGTTCAAGGTCAGCCTGGTGGACAAAGCAAGCTCCAGGAAAGCCAGAGCTACACAAAGAAACCCTTTCTCAAAACAAAAAAACCCACAACTTCTTTTGTTTTTTTCAAGACAGGATTTCTCTATGTAACAGAGTCAGTCCTAGCTGTCCTGGAACTGACTCTGTAGACCAGGCTGGCCTTGAAATCACATAGCTCCACCTGCCTCTGCCTCCCCAGTGCTGAGATTAAAGGTGTGTGCCACCAAGTCCGGCTCAGTTAAATTTTCAACTAGATAGCACATGCACAGCACCTGAGTTTCCCAGGCCCTCTTCCTCTCTCCTAAAGAAGCCAGGAGACTAATTCTGCACATGTACTCCTATACACATACATGTAAGGAGCTAGGTTTTATGCAGCTTTGAGGTTCCTCTAGGTAGGGACTGTCATCTTCAATGGACCCATCAGTAGTGGGCCACAAGCATGTAATCTACCTGACTATGTGATACAGGCAGAAAGCAGGGAATGGGAAAAAGATGATGAAGGAACAAGTCAGAGGCACAGAAGCAAGGGATTAGGGTTAGGGCTTCCACCATACCACATCCAACCCTCTTCTTCAGGTATCTAGAGAGCTCCTTAGGCCTCTTTGCCCAATCCCTCACACACCTTTTTTGGAGAGAAGACACCCACAGTACCACCATCCTCCCGGACAGCTACGCCCATCTCGGCCAGCAACGCTTCTCTGTGAGCAAGGGAAAGACAAATGTCAACCTCATGGCTGCTGCCCACGCCCTTTCCCTGCTAAGGTGCCAGATGTGCGCCCTGGCCCTCATACCTCTCCATTCTCAGGGCTTCCGTCTTACGGAGCTTTTCCTCCCAAGTCTCATTCAGCTCGGCGATAATCTTCTCTGTCTCCTGGGGACATCAGGACAGACAGAAGGCACGTTCAGGACAGCCCTGGACCAACACCTACCACAGAGATGACTATACTCTTGAGAGTCCTTCCTCCACTTCAGCCTTGAAAAAATGCAGTTGGAGCAGCGCCCAGACCATCACCCCTGCCAGTGCTCGCTTCACTCCCCACCTGCAGCCTCTCCATGGCCTCCTCAGGCCCAATCTGGGGCTCAGCACTGGGGGAGAAGGAAGGCTCCAACTCCCCATTGTGTGGAGGAGGAGATGAGGGTGAAGCTGGGGCCAGAGGAGACGACACAGCCGGCAGAGCGCCTCCAGGATTCCCCTCTCCCACCTTCAGACCTGGAAGAGAGAAAAGGAGAAGGAGGCTAAGACAGAACCGATCAGAGACAAGAGAGGGCCACAGAGAACTGCAGGAGACATCTAGGCAACTTGCCACCAGGGAGGTGGCCCTCCTAAGCGACAATGGCAGCAGCTGAGCACCCAGGGATGGAGAGCCTCACTCTTGCATGAGACGCAGCCACCCATGTTTTTCTATTGTTACTGACTTCTACCATCAGAAGGCCCTTAGCTGTGTTGAGCTGAAGAGGCCCCACACTATGTGTGCAAACCTTTTTTTTTTTAAAGATTGATTTATTTATTATGTATACAGTGTTCTGTCTGCATATCTGCCTGCAGGCCAGAAAAGGGCACCAGATCTCATTATAGATGGTTGTGAGCCACCATGTGGTTGCTGGGAATTGAACTCAGGACCCCAGGAAGAGCAGTCAGTGCTCTTAACCTCTGAGCCATCTCTCCAGCCCCGTGCCAAACCTTTTCAGTTCCGAGACAACTTATCTACCTTGTCCTCCATGCCTTTCCAAGAGCTCTTATTCTCCCTACTGTGCCCCTCAGCATGCTATCCTCAGTGAGAAGGACCTTAAGACTGGACACGAGGTGAGCACCTGATCCAGTGATTATATATCTTCTCACTCACATGGACATTAATTCTTTTTTTTTTCTTTTAAAAATATGGAATGCCAAGCAGAAGCAGAGATTCACAGCTAAGCACCAAGCCAAACTCCTGGAATTCAGTTGTAGGGAGGGAGGAGGGAGGAGTAAATGGGTCAAGACCATGTTAGAGAAACCCTGAGCAAGTGGGAGCTCACCGACCCCCAACTGACAGCTGGGGAACCAGCACAGGACTGAACCAGGCCCCCTGAACGTGGGTGTCAGTTGGGGGCCTGGGCAGTCTATGGGGCCTCTGGCAGTGGAACCAGTATTTATCCCTAGTGCACAAATGGGCCCATTCCCTATGGAGGGATACTCTCTCAGCCTAGATACATGGGGGAGGGCCTAGGTCCTGCCTAAATGATGTGACAGACTTTGATGATCCCCCATGGAAGGCCTCACCCTCCCTGAGAAGTGGATGAGGGGTAGCATGGGGGACTGGTGGGGGGGGAGTGTGAGGATGGGAGGTAGAGGGAACTGGAATTGGTATGTAAAATAAGATTATTTTAATTTAAATAAAAATTAATAAAATTTAAAAACATGGACTGCTTCGTGAATTTGAATGTCATCCTTGATCGGGAATCATGCTAATCTCTCTATCATTCCACCTTAAGTATATGTGCTACCCAAGTGAAGAAATGAACATTAATTCTTACCAGTGAAGCTGAGTGCTACATTTAGAGACCATCCTGTTGTTGACTATTGAGCTATAGTTGATTAAAACCCTGATGTTTGCAGACATAGTGGCACGTGCCTATAATCCTAACACTGGGGCAGGAGGACAGTGAGTGCATGATAATCTTGACAACATGACGAGACCTTGTCTCAAGACAACAAAGGACAGCTAGGCATGGTGGCTCCTGCCTGTAATCCCAGCACTTGACAGCCTGAGGCAGGAGGGCTACAACAATGATTCTCAATCTGTGGGTCGTGACCCTCACAGGGGTCATATATGAGATATTTACATTATGATTCATAGCAGCAACAAAATTACAGTTATGAAGTAGCAACCAAATAATTTTATGGTTGGGGGTCACCACAACATGAGGAACTGTATTAAAGGGTCACAGCATTAGGAAGGTTGAGAACCACTGGACTATAGAAAGGCCAAGGTCACATACAGTGATGTGCCCACATCACTGAACACACAAAGGGTTTAATGGTGGATGGACCTTCCCACATCCCATGACTGGGCAAAGACAAAGAAGGGAGACAGGGTGAGCTAAGAGCCCTCCCTAGGCTGTCCCTCCCAAGGAGCCCTACCTCCTAGAGCAGAGGCTGAGAGTCCCTGAGCCATCAGCAGCTCCCGCAAACGGGCCACCTCCTCCTGCAGCTCTCGGATAAGCCGGGCATTGGGGTCCTCGTTGATGACAGCATTGCATCGGATCTGCTTGGTGCGGTCTGCATACCTGGGCAAGGTGAGATACAAGTGGTGAGAGCAGGCCCAGGAGACCCTTGTTGTCTGTTTCCTGCTCACCTTCCCAGATCTCAAGACACTGTGGCTGGGCTGGAGGCTCTCCCTCCCTTATGACTAATCAGCCTCTGAGCTCTCGGCACTTCTGGTATGTTACCAACGCAGACATCCCACCTGAGCGTGCTGAGTGTCTCCTCATAATTGATGTCGGCGGGACTCAGGGCTGCAATCATTGCTGTGCGTGAGTTCCCACCTATGAACGGAAAGGATGGGAAAATTACGGGTGAGCTGGACTGAGACACTGCATGACTGTCACCCCAGGACCCGGGAGGCGGAAGCAGGAGGACAGAGTTCAAGGCCAGCCTGGGATACACGAGACCCTGTCTCAAATCAACTATATTTAAGGGATAGTAAATAAGTATGTAAAGTTAGAGTGGATTATAAAACAAGGGAGCCCCAGCACAAAGGTCTGAGAAGCCAGTGTCTGAGGTAGGATAAAGTTGAGAGTTGTAGAGCAGATCATGACGTCCACTAATGCAGGGAAAGGTGAGGGCAGGGAGACATCAGGTATATGTGTGCAGTCACAGGCCTGCGGGAGGGAGACGAACTCAGCAGTATTTGGGGTCAGGGGTAAACAGGTCACTGAGGTCCCTGGTTTGGCAGGGTGTAGCCATGATGTCATCATAGGAAACTTCCTTATATGATGACCCCCAGGTCACGGGAGAAATGGTGGGACAACACTGAGAAGATTAGAGATTCTAAGAGTGGCAGAAGGTTCTGTCGGATGGGGATGAAGTCAGGTTAGCAAAGATGGGGAAGGCACCCCTCACCCAAATTCTCCTTGAGCAGCCAGGTGAGCACAGAGTCTCTGTAAGGTATGAAGTCTGACTTCCGCTTCTTTGATTGCTGAGGGATAGAGGGGGAAGGTAGTCAGGCACAGAGGGGGAAGAGTCATTCCTGTGCCCTCTTTTCCTGAGACTGCTCTTCCTGACCCTCAGGGCTTACCAAATCTGCCAGGGCCGAGATCACCTTCCCTAGAGTAGTCAGGGACTTATTGATGTTGGCGCCTTCCTGGGAAAGGATGAGGAATGCAGAATTGAGACCTCCGTCAATCAGATCCATGTCCCCTCTACTTTGCCCTACTTTGTTCTAGGGAATGAATGATCCACCTCCCTCCCTACATAGCCTTCAAGGCTTCCATCCATCCCTCCAAAGCACCCTCACCTTTAGACGCATACCCCGGGCCCCTGAGGAGTCAGCCCGCTCGCTCCCAGCGAGGTCCACCAAACTGATCTTACTGACCTGGGGTTGGAAGAAAGAAGCAGGTTGTGGCTGGGGTGGGTAGGGGATGGGAAGGGAATTAGGGGAACAAGCAGCAGAAATCTGGGTGTTTAGCAAAGGTTAGAGAAACCCAGGGGGAGACAAGGGAAAACAAATGAGACGATAGTGAGGACCTGGTTACTCAAAATTCATTTGTTCATTTATTCACTTACAAATATTTATAGGTTCACTGTGTTCCAGGACAAGGGACACAGTGGGACTTGAGCCCTGCCCTGAGAACCTTTAAGGACAAGCAAACAAACAGATTATAACGCACTATCTGGCAGGAGAGTAGAGAGGGCTGTAGAAGGCCTGAAGAGGCACCACCGAGCATGGGTGGGCAGGGAATGTGCAAGCCCCTTCCGTCACATCATTGGAGAGAGGTCACTACCTTTTCTGAATCCAGGCCAGTAAGCTGGTCGTGGGAGCGCTGGGTAAAGACAATAGTGAAGACAGCGTGGGAACGGCTGCTGGTCTCATTCATGTTGGTGGCAGCCACGGTTCTGGAGTTGAAAGGCCAAGTCTTAGGCTCCTGCCCCTCACCCTCACAATGTTTGGTCCCTTCCTTCCCATTCCCAGGTAAGCCTGCCTCACCGAGCCTTATTTCCACAATCCATGAGGTCGGCAATGTCTGCATAGGACGTTACAGCCAGTTTAGACAGGTCTTGCACATAAGGGCCCAGGATGGGGTGCTCCCGGACACGCAGGGAGCCCCGACTCTTGGGGTTCAAGAGGTCTCGTACTCGCTCGCAATAGATCTCCATATAGCTCACCTGAGTGGGAGAAGCAAATAGGAAGTGAGGGAGACAACTGGTGCTGCTGGAGAACTGACCCTAACCGCCACTGGACAGGACAGTTACCTGCAGCCAGGCATGACAAGCATGGCACTTGGGCTGAATAAGGCTAGCTCACTGGTTCTCTCACCAACCCTAGGAGGTGGGTCTAATCATTATCATCCCACAGAAGCACATACACAGGAGCCACAAGCTGAAATCACTGCCCAAAGTCACATTAGTCACCAGCACAGCCGGAACTAAGTCCCAAGCTGACTCCAGAGACAGACCTCAGTCTTAATCACTGTTCTCCTACATTCTTGTCCAGGGGTATCAGGCCTCATGCCTATCTGCACCAAGATTGGGGCTCACCTCCACAGAATAGGAAAGCTGTGCGCTCTGGTTCACGTTAACACGAGAGAAGAGGTCCTCGCAGAGCTGGAGGGGGACACAGAGAAGTTCCTGTTCAGGGCATGCCTGCAGCTCCCAGCCCGAGGCCAGAACTTGTCCCAAATGACTCTTTCCATAGCTCCAAGGGAGGGGCCAGTTCCATTTAGATAGGAAAACAAGCCTGGTGTTGGTGGCACATGCCTTTAATCCCAGCACTCGGGAGGCAGAGGCAGGCGGATCTCTGTGAGTTCGAGGCCAGCCTGGTCTACAAGAGCTAGTTCCAGGATAGCCTCCAAAGCAATACAGAGAAACCCTGTCCCGAAAAAAAAAAAAAAAAGGAAAACAATCTCTTAAAGGTTCACTAGAGTCACAAGCTAGTATCTCCATCAGGCTAGGATGCTATAGTCTATAGAGACCACTACAGATCGTAGATACAGAATTATGGACAACTCTTAGTTTTTCACAACTATAGTTGATACCATCTAATGCTGAAATCCATAAGGGAAATGCACTAAAAATCAGTTATGACAAAATAGGATAGTAGTGAGCACAGCTCCTCTAATACTGATGCCTTGGCTGCTCTCACGGAGCCTTGTTGTCCTGGTGGGTGGGAAGCATCTCTCAAAGGGCCCTGGGTGTTAGGATACAGCCAAGCCTTATACTCTGTCACATTTCCAATCACAAACAGCCCCAGATAGTCAGGTCTTGGCTTACAGTCCTTTTAACCCTGTCCTCCTTCCCCTGTGGCAAGTGAAGATGTCCCTCCCCAGTTAGGTGCCAGCATGTACCTGAGGCACGATGCCCTGCTGCCCCGGTTCCTGCCGCCCCATCATGGTGTAGGACTTCCCAGCCCCTGTCTGCCCATATGCAAAGATGCACACATTGTAGCCTTCAAAGGCGTGCAGCAGCATCTCTTCTCCGATGTCTCGATACACCTGCTGTTGAGATGCAAACTGCGGATCCTCCACCTAGGTGAAATGGAGGAAGAGAAAGACAGGAGCCCTGGATGAGGCTGTTCTTTGTGTCTATGGCCTACGCATCCTGGCCACTCAGACCCAAAGGCCCGGAGTGACCCTCACCCCCACTACATCTTTTTTTTTTAATTATTTATTTGTATTTTATGCACATTGGTGTCTTGCTTGCATATATGTCTGTGTGAGGGTGTTGAATCCCCTGGAACAGGAGTTACAGGCAGTTGTGAGCTGCCATGTGGGTGCTGGGAATTGAACCCAGGTCCTTTGGAAGAGCAGCCAGTGATCTTAACCGCTGAGCCATCTCTCCAGTCCCACTACATCGTTCTTATCAGCCCTGAGGCTCTTACCCAGCCCCACGCGGTCCTAATTATCTAGATGGATTCTACTTTCCCCCTCTAGGTTCCAAACACAACCCAAGAGTACTATTCATTTCACCCAGAGGTGCTTGTCCCCCCAAATCCAGTCCCTTGGGTATCCTTATTTCCCAGCAAAAATCCCTCTTCTCAGGACCCAAATCCCCCGTCTCCTTTGACTAAGCTCTGCCTCCAGCCCCAAGAGCCTCACCGAAGTATGTGACCAATAAGAATAGTCGAAGGTGAAGCTTTTGGGGGCATCCTTGCTCTGTTTGGGATTGATGATGGCTAGAAAACACAGAGAGGAAAGTCAAGGTCAGGTTTGCTCAACCTCTGCCCACTTTCCCATACACCCCGAGGATCCAGGATCCCACTCCCCAAATCTGTCCTAACTCATTTCTTCCCTTTAATAATCCCCAC